CAGATAACAATGATCCCATTGAACCAGGAGTTAAGACTGCCACCCAACCACTTTAGGCTACTCATGCCGCTGAATCAATAGGCAAATATAGGAGTTACTGTGTTAGCTGGGGTGATTGTTCCTATTATACCAAGGAGAAATTGAACTGCTGCTAAGGAAGAGTTTGTCTACTACAAGAGATCCTTTAGGGTTTCTCATAGTATTACCCATACCCTGTGACTAAGATTGATGGACAAATAAAATAACTCAATCCAGATAGAACTGCTAATGGCCCAGACTCTTCAGGAATGGTTTGGGTCACCCCACCCGGGAAGGCACTATGACCAGCTGAGGTGCTTGCCGAAGGCAAAGAGAATGCAGAATGGGTGGCGAAAGAAGCTAATTATAGACGCCGGCTATGACCACATGACCAGTTACAGAAATACGTACTGTAATTGTCATGAGTATTTCTTTCTTATTTTGTTATCGGTATGTTTGTGTGTATATATGTACATACATATGTATGTACGCGTTAATGTATATAATATATAGTATCTTTGTTTTCTTCCTTTTCTTTCCCCCTTATTATGTGACACAAGATGTATTGACTTCATGTCATAGTACTAAGTATTGTTGACTTCATATCATAATATTTAAATTATAAGATATCAAGAGTAAACAGCATGTAAGGACTTCATATCCTCTTCTGGGAAAAGAGCGAGTGCATTTTCAGTTGTACACAGGATAGTTGTGTCATGCTAGGTGGAAGTATGACCTTGCTATTGTCTTTATTGGAGATTGAAGTACAGTAGCCGCCTTATCTCTGGCAGATATGTTCCAGCATCCCCAGTGAATGCCTGAAACCAAGGATAATCCAAAACCTATAAATAGTATGCCTGAATTTCTTTTTACTGCTTCACAATTTCACAGATAGAATATTCATTTTCACTGTAGATCTTAACAACCTCAGCATATGATTTTTTTTTCCTTCCTAAGTTGAGAACTTTTCACTTAAAGGAAGAACTTTATAACATCTCTTTAGCATACCCAAATTTCCAGTATCACTATTCTTGCACTTTGGGACTATTATTAAGTAAAATAAGGGCTACTTGAACACAGGCACCTTAAACCATGACAGTCGATTTGGTAACCAAGTTAGCTACTAAGTAACTAATGGGCAGAGAGAATAGAGAGTGGATATGCTGAACAAAGGGAGGTTTACATCTCAGGAGACAGAGTGGGATCGTGTGAGATTTCAGCACACTACTCGGAAGAGTGTACAATGTAAAACTTATGCATTGATTATTTCTGGATTTTTTATTTAATATTTTTGGACCATGATTGGCTTCAACAAGCTGAAACCAGAGAAATCAAAACAATGAGTCTGAGGGGGTGGATTACTGTATGGTTAAAGATGTGTGTGGGCACCAAGTTCACATGGAATAGGCTTGTGATGATTCATTTTATGTGCCTACTTGCCTGGGCTATGGCGCCCAGATAGTTGGTCAAATGTTATTCAGGATGTTTCTTTCAAGATGTTTTTGGATGGCATTTACATTTAAATTCATCAACTTTGAATAAAACATATTGTTCTTGGTAATGCAGGCCTCGATAGAACAAAAGACTAGCTTGCTCTGAATCAGACGAAATTCTGCCAGCAGACTGCTTTGGACCTTCATCTGCCACATTGCCTCTTTCCTAGGTCTCCAGCCTCCTGGCCCACCATGAAGGTTTTTTTGGCAGCTTTCATAATCTTGAGAGCCTTAAAATAAATCTCCTTGACTTACAATGGGGTTATATCTTGATAAGCCCATCATACATTGCAATATCCTATGTCAAAACGTATTTAGTATACCTAACCTACTGAACAGGCTATCTTAGTCTAGCGTACCTTAAATGTGCTGAGAACACTTACCTCAGGCCACAGTTGGGCAAAATCATCTAACACAAAGCCTATTATATAATACAATATTAAATAGCTCATACAAATTATTGAATGAGCTTTTTAAAAAATTATGTACTGAAAGTGAAAAACAGAGTAGTGCATGGCTACTTGAAGTATGGTTTCTAATGAATACCTATTGCTTTTACACCATCATAAATTTGAAAAACCCTAAATCAAATCATTGTAAGTCAAGCACCATCTGCGTATGTAAATCCTGTTGGTTCTGTTTCTCTGGAGAACTCTGACTACTACACTGCCTCATAGTCTGTGTGTTGTCTGAGTCCCCATCTCCTCTTCTTCTAAGCATGTTGATCATATTGGATTAGAGATTACCTATATGAGTTCATTTTCCCCATCTTATTTCTTTAAACACCCTATCTCCAAATACAGTCATATTCTGAGATACTGGGGTCGGGACTTCAACATGTATTTTGAAGGGGACATAATTCAGCCCATAACAAATAGTGTGATAATCGTGCCTCAGAGAGTTTAGAAGTGAGGATTAAATATGTTAACACATGTCAGATACTAAATACAATGCCTGGCACGTAGCAGCAGAAACATAATCACTGGAATTTTTTTCACTAATAACGTTTTTAGTTCACTAAAATTTTTATGAAAAACTTAATTTGCATGGCTGATGAGTGTTGGAACTGTAGGGTTCTGTGTATCTCAACACGTTCTGGGTTGTGTTAACATAGAAAATAGAGACATCCCTTTTCTCCTTAGGCAACTCCATAGCAGTAATGAATACTGCTGGTGATTATTTTTGCAAAATATTCTCAAAACGTGTCTCAAGAAAGTCAGAATTAGACCATTTTTTTTTGGAGTTTTGTTTCTAAACTATAATGAACTAAGAAAGTCCAAAAAAATTTATTCAAGTGTGGGCACAGGGATGTTAACACTGTGATAGCGCTTAGAGGAAAACCTAGGTGTCAGATTAGTAAAATCTGAGAAATTTACATACAACGGTTATATTTGATTTTGCATTCCTGGTTTGTATTCTCATTATACTTGGAAAGATTTATTCTAATAGTTATTTTGCACCTGGCCATTAGATACTATTATGATATTTAGGCTAGAGCAAATATGGATATATAGCTCCAAGAATCAAATGCATTTTATATAACTTTCAGTGCCCTTCTTTTAGGATAATGTAAATAGTCTTGTCCTTGATGGGGATTACTGTACAATTGTGGAAATATATTAACCATCAGATAGAGAGAGCAACTTTATTACAGATTTGGCACAGTTAATTTATTCCTTTTATCAGAAATCCTTCGTAAAAGTAGATAACAAAGAGGCTAAGGTATAATCTTATTGTGAGTGGGTGGTTATGCACTGAGATATCTGACACCCAGTTGTTAGAAGATCAGAAAAATGCGAAACCCAACTGAAAGACTAATTGTGTTTTCTTGTCACATGCGGCACAGAAGAAAAAGGGAGGCACAGGGCGCAGGGAACACTCTATCTGAAGGCTGAGAGCCATTCACTTTGCACCACGTCCAAACAAATCTTACGGAGAAGAATAAATTTGTTTCTATCATCTTCCTTCATTCAAAAAAATTATTATTCATTCACCCAAAGATCTTTAAACATAAATAAGAGAAACATAATTTATATAAATGATTACTATTCCCACATACATTGACTCTAGTTCTAGTACAGGAAGCAAAGAGACACTTGACTGAATTAATTCAGTGATTCTTAAACTTTTCTCTTTCACCATTTCATTCTCTCCTATTACACTGCTACACTGAGTTTTCAGGAGCTGTTATCAACCAGCCACATGGCTCCCTGTCCTTCTTTGAATCCAGCTTGTTTTGAGGAAAAAGAGGATGTAAAGAGGGTTGTAGGAGATTGGTCAGAGTGGTGGGAGAAACTCTAGAGAAAGGAGCAGGCCTCTGACAGGTCAGAAGGCACCTGCAAAGCCTCAGAGGAAAGTAGCTGAAGGCAGCTGTTCTCTAACACTGAGGCAGAGGTCAAGGAGTAGGTACAAGGGAGTGCAGGGGAATTTGTCTTAAACACGCTTGTTTACTTATGTTGACCAGGAACTGACCTTTGATCAGTGTGCCTGACTGTTCCCTGAAAGGGGAACAATAAATGTTAATTACCTACAGGTTGTGTTTGCTACAGTCTTTCTGCATTATGCCTGCACTGAATAAAAGCAAGCAGATACAGCTTCTCAAGGCTGCTGCACTTTGGCTGCTAGAGCCAGGCAGTCCCCTAGCTGCTCTTACACCGCGCACCTGTTTCTGAGTACTCATTTCATCCGTCGGTTGGCCAGGGGCTACGGGACAGACCTGGCAGAGGGTAAAAAAGTGGAGAAAGACATTTTACCAAATTCCAGATTCTTTTTTTTTGAGATGGAGTTTTGCTCTTGTAGCCCCGGCTGGAGTGCACTGGCCTGATCTTGGCTCACTGCAACCTCCGCCTCCTGGGTTCAAGTGATTCCTCTGCCTCAGCCTCCCAAGTAGCTGGGATTACAGGTGTGAGCCACCATGCCTGGCTAATTTTTGTATTTTTAGTAGATACTGGATTTTACCATTTTGGCCAGGCTGGTCTCGAACTCCTGACCTCAGGTGATCCACTCCACCCTGCCGCCCGCCGGACTCCCAAAGTGCTGGGATTACAGGTAGGAGACACCATGCCTGGCCCCAATTCCAGATTCTTATGGGTCATTGCCATCACCACTGTACTGGTACTGAAGCTCCACTGACGCTCTATTTCCAAGCCCACGGTCCTTTGAGAAACCTGTGACCCCAGATAAATATGAAAGAAATTTATAATAACATGGTATTGATTCCGTCATGATATGTTTACAAGACTTAACACTTGATGCATGACAGTTTTTTCCATGGCTGCCTCAATAAATTTGTAATCTATAAAAACGTCATTTTCTCCCATTGTGAATTTAGAGTAAAATAAGGGTCTACCAGACAGCAGTGCTCTTCCAGGAAAGGAAATACAGGAGACGGGCGATCCTATTTTATTGTGACAATGGATAATATTTTTTGACAGATACTGGGTTGTGCATCTTACATGTGATTATTCCTTATTTAATATTATAAAACTGGAATAATTACTATGTTTATTCGCATAAGGAAATCAAGACTTGGAGAAGTGAAATAGCTCATACAATTTCACACAACAATCAGTGTGATTCACCTCTAAGTCAGTGCTCTTAACCATGCTCCTAAGTTCCCTTCCCCAGTCTAAGAAATCAAGAAGTTCTTTTGGAAGCATCAGTCACTTTGTGCTTCTCTGAAACATTAGGTCTACAATGGTGGGAAGTAGGGGAGCTTTCCCAGCAAAGTCCCTTGGAAGAGAGAAAGAGCGTCAGCCACCCTATGCAGAGGTGGGAAGAAGCACTGCTTGCTGCCAGCCACAGCCTGTCTCCCTCACCTTCAGAAACACCGTTGAGCCTCAGGAAGGAGGATCTATCAGTGGCCACAAATTTGATGATCTACCTGGTAAGTCTTTGAGAACTACTAGCAATAGGTCTGCTTGTAGTCTGCTTTTATCCTGTCTTCGTGTGAAGTCACTTCACTTCCTAGAATATCTGTAAAATTAGGGAACGTATGAGCTGGCTGCTGAAGTATTTTCTAATTTTCAAATTATTTGGATCTATGAGGTATCACATTTGGACAGTCATTTACCCTCACCTTTACCTCAGTCCTCATTTTATATCATGATATTTATTTTCTCAGGCTCAGTCCGACCTGCTTTCTTCTTTCTTAGCAAAACCATTCAGAGTTAGGAAAGAAACTAAACCAGTGAATGTGCAACTGTCAACTCAGCTTTAATCTGCAAGATTCTGAAGAGACTATACTATTCTTCCCAGTTAAGCTTTGCCTAAGTCTTTTAATACCCCAAATAACATCCTAAGCAGAAACCTCCATTTTTACTATGAGAAAGAAGTTTTAAGCCAGTCTATTGGTACTGTAACGCTTACTGACTTTTCAGTGACAAAACGTGCTGAGGTATACTTTGTAAATCTAGCGTGGATATTAATCTATTTATTGAATGCCATTTGAAGTCTCTATTTAAGCTTGTCAGTGGTACGTGAGTAAAGATTGGGCCAGTTTCTTGCTGGTGTGTGTTTAATTCAGTTGTAACAGTGTTCTATTTATTGTGAAAGTGGGATAATTCAAAATTCTAGTTGGGATTTCCTCTCAATTGCTATTACGTGTATAATGCCTGCCTCAAAGTTCTAGTTGGGATTTCCTCTCATTTGCTATTACGTGTATAATGCCTGCCATGGACAATTTGCAAGTAGCCAGTATCATTCCTCTAATGACATAGACACCTTAGATTTAAGGAGATTAATACCATGGTAACTTCAAAGTCCTTTGATGAAAAACAGCATAGTTATAGAATAAAAAAGATTCAAAAATGTTTTCTTAGTTCTTTCTAGTACCCTTAGCACCCAATATGAGACTGCTATTCCCAGATTCCTGTTATGGCTCCATGTACAGCCAATTCAACCATTTTTGATTAGACAATCTGCCAGTTTCATACTATGTAATGATTCAACCAATTTAACTGAATTTTCAGGGATTTTGAAACAACTGAGTAGTCAATTCAGACCAAGTAGCTCATTTTACCTGCAGATATAGTCTAAGCAATTGATGTGAAGTTTATAAGTTAGTATGTTTTCTCCACTCAAAAGTAATGTGTTATTATAAAATATTGCCATTGCTTTATTGTGCTTTTAAAATATTCAAATTTTTTCTAAAATTAAGTTTACAGAGAAGGATCCTAAATTTTAAAAAGAATAAAATGTAAAACCAATAGTTCCTGAATTTAACCTCTATAGTCTATTGAGAAGAGCTTTAAGTTGGCAATGAAAAATCAAAGTTAACATCTAGTGCTTTAATAAATACAGCTGCTCAAGAATAGTATTACAACATATTTTAAAAAGCAATTTTAAAAAAGACTAAGTGAGAAATATTTACTTAAAGCAATCCTCCTTAAACAACAAGAAACCAATTCTCGTGGCAGCCATCAGATTTTTTGTTTGTTTGTTTTTGTTTTTAGATTATTTTATTTGAAGTATCTTACAAAGGAATATATGGGTTCCATGACTGGTTAGACATAACAGTTGCTGTGGGAATATTTTATTCATTATTTAGAATTCTGAGGCTTACAAAGGTACTATTTGGAAACAAAATGAATATACTTAGAGACATTCACTTCCAACTATGAGGGAGTGACAGAGAACAGAATTATCACACAACCTGAAAAATAAACAAATTGACTAAACATGTGAAATAAAAGTTATCAAAACACTAGCATCAAGCAATGTAGAACAATGATCCCTGAGAGACAGGGGGAATGATGTGAGCCCTGTTATTTCCCTATCTTATTGCCTTCAAGAGCATTTCTAGGACATAGTATATAGAGGCAGAACCCAGGCAGAGCCAGCTCAGTTCTCTGAATTGAAGTGACAGAGCTGAGAGTATGTAGGACAGTGTGCTGGAGAAGAGAGAGCCTCACAGAGAGAGAACTCTGGAAATCAAAAGCAAACCTCTATATGTCTTTAGCAGAGTGCTGCTGAGTGCCTGTGTGTGAGGAAATGACCCAAAGATGAAGGAAAAAAGTACCTACCCAGACTAAAGGTGACAGTGCCTAGAAGTGACACAAGGCTGGACATAGCACCCATTCCCACCAGCCAAACTGGAAAAATCTCATGTTTCATGGAACACTTGGTAAAGCACATTGATGTATCTTCAATAGTAGGAAATAATTAGGCTGAAACACCTTTCTAGTCATGGCTAACAAACCTTAAGAGCAAGCTCCAACAGTATCCAAATAAATTACTCTTGTATCGAGAACAAAGCTCAAGAATACTTATAGGAATCCAGAAACATTTAGCACCCAACAAAGTAAAGTTTGCAATGTCAGGAATTAAATTAAGTATTACAAAATGGCAAGACAGTGTGAAAATATGATTTATAATGAGAGGAAAAATCAACTGAAACCCAGAACTGACACAGATATTACAATTAGCAAATAACAACATAAAAACAGTTAAATAACTATTATATATGTTAAAATATTAAGTATAGAAGTAGAATTTATAAGAAAGACAAAAATTGAATTTCTAGAAATGAAAACTAAAATGTGTGAGGGAACAATATATTGGATGGGATTAATGACATTAATGCAACATTGCAGATGTAAACATTGGTAACCATGATGACATAAAAATGGAAACTATCAAGATAAAACACAAAAAGGATAATTTTTTTAAAAAAATGAATGGACTATCAGTTATGAGACAATTTCAAGTGGTCTAATATGCTTGTAAGTGAAGTGATCAAAGCAGGAAGAGACAGACAGAAAAAAACTGAAGGAAGTAAATTTGAAATTTTCCAAATTTGATAGAAGCAATAAACTCACTGATGCAAGAAGCACAATGAACCCCAAATACAAGAAACATTAAGACAATTACAACATAGTTCATCATAATCCAACTAATTGGGTTTTTTAATTTTAATTAATTAATGTTTATTTTAAGACAGAATCTTGCTGGGCAACCCAGGTGACAGTTCAGTGGTACAATCATAGCTCACTGCTGCCTCAAACTCCTGGGCTTGAGCAATCCTCCCACGTCAGCCTACTAAGTAGCTAGGACTACAGACATATGCTATCACACCTGCCTAATTTAAATTTTTTTTATTTTGTATAAACTCAGTGTCACTATGTTGTCTAGACTGATCTTGTACTCCTGGCCTCAGGTGATCTTACCTCCTCAGCTTCCCAAAGCACTGGGATTACAGGTGTGAACCACCAAACCCAGCCTATAATCCAATTGTAAAAACGAGTGATAAAAAGAAAATAAAAATATATATTATCAATTTATATCCTCCCCAAACTCAATAAAAGAAAAACAATTTGTTTATTAAATATGGTCAAAACAGAATCTCTGGGACACAGCTAAAGCAGTGTTAAGAGGGAAATTTATAGCGCTAAATGCCCACATCAGAAAGTTTGAAAGATCTCAAATTGACACCCTAACATCACAATTAAAAGAGCTAGAGAGGCAAGAACAAAGTAATCTAAAAGCGAGCAGAGAACAAGAAACAACTAAGATCAGAGAAGAATTGAAGGAGATGGAGACATGAAAAATCCTTTAAAAAATATCAATGAATCTGGAACTGTTTTTTTTTTTTGAAAAAACACCAAAATAGATAGACCACTAGCTAGACCAATAAGAAAAGAGAGAAGAATCAAATAAACACAATAAAAAAATGATAAAGGAGATATGACCACTGACCCCACAGAAATACAAACTACCATCAAAGAATACTATAGACACCTCTATGCAAATAAACTGGAAAATCTAGAAGATACATACACCATCCCAAAACTAAACCAGTGTGGACACATACACCCTCCCAAAACTAAACCAGGAAGAAGTTGAATCCCTGAATAGACCAATAACAAGTTCTGAAATTGAGGCAGTAATAGCTTACCAACCAAAAAACCCCAGGACCAGACAGATTCACAGCTGAATTCTACTAGAAATATAAGAAGAGTTGGTATCATGCCTTCTTAAATTATTCCAAATGATTGAAAAGGAGGGACTCCTCCCTAACTCATTTTATGAGAGCAGCATCATGCTGATACCCAAACCAGAAAGAGATACAACTAAAAAAGAAAACTTCAGACTAATATCCCTGATGAACATCAATGCAAAAATCAATAAAATATTGGCACACTGTATCCAGCAGAACTTCCAAAAACGTATCCACCACGACCAAGTTGTCTTCATCCCTGGTATGTAAGGCTGGTTCACCATATGCAAATCAATAAACGTAATCCATCACATAAACAGAACCAAAGACAAAAGCCACATGATTATCTCAATAGATGCAGAAAAGGCTTTGATAAAATTCAACATCCTTTCATGTTAAAAACTCTCAATAAACTAGGTACTGATGGAGCATATCTCAAAATAATAAGAGCTACTTATGACAAACCACAGCCAATATCATGCTGAATGGGCAAAAGCTGAAAGCATTGCCTTTGAAAACTGGTACAAGAAAAGGATGCCCTTTCTCACCACTCGTATTCAACATAATATTGGAAGTTATGGCCAGAGCTGTCAGTCAAAAGAAAGAAACATATTCCAGTAGGAAGAGAGGAAGTCAAATTGTCTCTGTTAGCAGACCACATGATTGTATATTTAGAAAACCCTGTCTTCTCAGCCCCCAAATTCCTTAAACTAATAAGCAACTTTAGCAAAGTCTCAGGATACAAAATCAATACGCAAAAAATCACAAGTGTTCCTTTATGCCAACAATAGGCAAGCAGAGAGCCAAATCATGAATAAACTGCCATTCACAATCACTATAAAAAGAATAAAATACCTAGGAATACAGCTAACTAGAGATGTGAAGGACCTCTTCAAGGAGAACTACAAACCACTGCTAAAGGAAATAAGAGAGGACACAAGAAATAGAAA